GAACAGGTATTTGTGTTATTATAAGCTGAAGGAAAGCCTGGATTTGTGAAATATGTGGAGTTTTGAGCAGCGATTCCGCCACAACTACGGGGGACTAAGTTATTCACCAAATCATTGTTATGGCATTATTTAAATAAACAATTAATACAATTTAATAAAATACTCACAAACACAGCAAACATTACTGACACCACATCTGCCAATGGGAACCCCTCCCTGTTGTCGACAGATTAGACTCGAATAACACGTGCCTTTCATTGTGTGAACGGTTTGATTGGGAATGCCTGGGATGAGCGTCGATACGGCACATGACGGTCCAGAACTGAGCAATAGATTGCCGACTAAGCAAACATTGCAAATTGAGAGTAAGTTTGAAAAATCATTTAATATTTTTAAAGTAAAATTAATTAATTTTCTTATTACTCGCAGAAACAGTTGAAAAGAGTATCAATAGTAAAGCCAACGAAGAAATAAATACATTAAAAGTTTTCGCCATTAAGAAACAAATTTTAAATAAAATTATAGTCGTTTAGGACTACCGACGAGGAGATCATTCAATGATCTAAACAACAATTAAAAGTAATTTTATAACAAAAATACACTGAATTCCCATTTAAGTCGTGATATCTTTTTATGAAACCAAAGTATAGTTATATTGAGAGTAAAATTGTTGTGTTGTTATCATTCAAAAAGTTTATTTGCCATTGAGTTCAGACCTATTGTGTGACAAAGAGGAGGATATTTTGCCATTCATTGAGGTTTTCAGTGATTGTTATGACATTAGAATTATTGCATTTTTATCATTGAAATCTTGTCCCAAATTTAACGCATCGCTAGAAATTTGATTTTATTTTTAAAACAACATTTATCTAAAGCCAAAGCCTATACTGCTTTACCTTTTGAATTGACCCTAATTTCACTGATTATTGTTTGAGAAATAAATACAATCTATTAGTGAATGAATAGCTAACCGACAATTTCGAGGAAATAGACATTTATAAATATAATAAACATTATTAATTATGTATTACTAACTACTCAATAGTACTCTGTTATATATTCAATGAAACATTCAATTTAATTTATTTATTGACAATAAATCCATAGCTAAATGGTAAATATTTTTGGACATATTTTACTTTCTCCTGTGACTGTAATAAATGTATTGTTGATTATTATTTAATCATATTATTTAAACGTTGCGTTTAAATCTATAGAATTATAGTTTGATATTTATTATAATGTTATACAATATGTAAAAAGCATTTTCATGGCATTGTTTAACAGTAAAAATACGGAAGTCTGCTCATCATCCGTAGGTTTAACAATGTTTATAATAATTGGATTAGAATTTATTGATTTCTCGTTAATATACAACAAATTTCTTAATAACTTCACAAAATTAAGCTTTATTCATAACTATAAATTTCAAAAAATGTACATTTAGTAAAGAATTGACAATTTATTAGAACAAAAACATAATGTTTTTAAAATTGCATACTAACTTATATCAAACAAATTTTACTAATAATTATTTGTATTTTATTGAATAATATTTAAACATTTCTTTTAATTTTTTTTAATTAGTATTGAAGGACAATATTTTAATAGTGTATTGATTTAATTTAAAACAATTATTTCTTAAATTTAATGATAGAGTTGTAGTAGATTTTCTCATTTAATGGTAAAACTTATTTATATTTCTAAACATTTTATAAATTTCTATAAATAAACATTTCAAAGATTTAGCACAATTAACAGGAAATTATCGGATATTGTTTAAAATATCATATCATTTAATAAACTAACAGTTATTTTGTACTAATTGTAGAGAATTATTGATTGTCTTGTAATTATCATTGATTAGATTGAAGTGATTGTCTCGTAATTACGACAGATATATGAATTAAATATCATTTTAATTCTTTAATACTTAATATGATTTAAATATTTGGCACTTAATATCAACTCTAGAGCTAAAGAGATCTAATGATTGTATAGTTAACAATAAATACTTCCA